ATTTTACTATCAAAGCTGCCAAAGTGTTAATACATCTGTACCTGAGAATAAGTTACATAGTGTAACATACCATGATGCTATGTTTTAGCACAAACAGAAACATTAAAACTGCCTTCAACTGCAAAAATGTGTTTCTGGGCGCATATGAACTACCTACCAATGTATGTTTCAATGTATACTACAGATTCAAATAACTTTGAAACTGTATTGATTACCTTGTTGTACCTTCTCAGTGTCTTTATAAAAGGAGCTAGGCCCATACCCAGGAAATAGCATGCTAACATCAAAGAATACAATTTAATTTAATAAAATCTTTTAATTTTTTTATTTTTAAATGTCTAAAAAAGACCAGAACTAATTATTATTATTATTATTATTGTTCTGTTCTGTTTTTTTATGTCAAAAAACAGAAGTGTTTCTGTTTTTTTTATGTCAAAAAACAGAAGTGTTTCCTGTGATTATTTAAAGTAATATTTTTAGTAAAGAAAGGCTAGAGGTTTTGTCCAATGGCAGAGCATGTGTCACTGCTGACACAAGTGAAACTGTTGTGTTGGACTTATATCTCTGTAAGGAAGACAAGCTCTGTCTCCAGAGGGAGAGAGATTTTCAAGATTGCTTCAGGGTTCTATCTGGGTTTTGAGCTTTGAAACAGGACAAGCCATGACATAAGGGGAAAGAAAAAAAATCTCCCCGTGGGTTGTCGAACCCTGCTCAATTATGTGATATTCATCTTTTTCTAACTGGTGCTGCTCAAAAAGGTTTGGTTTTTAATTAAGATTCAAAGAGTGTGAGGGGGCCAGATAAAGACTCACCAGCAGCTTCCCCGCAAACCGAGGAGTTGGAATAGTCCAGATTCTGAATCAGAGCTCTGTTGGAAAATAATAGAGGACAAATTAGTGGCATTGAACACTTTCGCAAACCCTGAGCCTGAGAAAATGAACACGTAAAGACACACATCATTAGGCAGCGTTACGGTGGGAATGGGAGACTCATTAGAGAACGTGATTGATTTCTCTCATTCCTTTCTCAAATTAGAATTGTGGCGTTTCCAGTGGCGACACATCAAAGCTGCAGAGTGAGAAATGGGCAGGGAAAACTACAAACATCAACAGTACATTTAATTTTAATGATTTGAATTATGATGGGATTTCTTTTGCCCCCCCCACCCCACCCCAGAGACAGTGTTGTAGTTAAAACAAATATGATTATCTCAGAGCAGAAGTGTAACCACCAGAAAGCCACAGCTCCTCCTAGGATTCGAGGACAATACGACTACAATTCACTGGAGTAGTACTACACACTGTTTTGTTAGCTTTACAATATGTACACTGATTATGTAACCTACCCACACACTACGCAAAATATTTCAAACAAAACATGTTGGCTTTACTTATGCAAGTGACACGCATGAAAAAGCCAAGAAATCCCTGATGTGAAGGCAGTGAGTGATGAAATCAGAAAATGTTGAATGTGAAAATGAAAGCAAAAGAGGAAATATGATGTCAGATCAGATGAAAAGTTACTACTGCTATAGTTAAAAGTTAACAAAAGTTCAAACGTAAGCTGCATAGCTCAGATGGGGAAACGTTAGAATATTGAAAATAAAAGCCAAAAAAAAAAAAAATACACCTGGGAGTTGACAAAATTTTACAAAAAGTTATCCTGGAACCTAGAATTAGCTCAAATGACAAATAATAGTTTCCTTTAGTGATGCTTTCAAAGATTTTCCTTTATTATATGTTAGGTCATATAGGAATAAATTCTGATTACTGGCTTTTAAATTACAAAAAAACCCAGCAAAGGTCATAAGGTCATATCACCTCAGTCAAATCTACACCTTAGACAAAAACTGCTTAAAATCTTTAATATTAGCAAAGCAGGACTGGATAGCATTTAGGTCAAAGTTGGCTAGATGGGCCAAGGTGTACTCTACTGTAGCCAAATTAAAACAAGGACAGTTAAAGGTTAGGAAATAGTGACCATAGTCGACTAGAAGGTAGATGTAAATAACAATAAAGTTTGGCTAAAAAGGTTTGAAATGGCTCCTAAACAAAGTGTTTTATTGGGGCAAATAGGCCTTTTTTTAAGGAAAAGTTACATTTTGTTCAGATAAAACATTAAGAAAATTACTTTTAGAAAGAAGACATTTTTCCACCAATATAGTACTACCATGGCTACAAAAACCAGACGTTGGACACGCCTCCTCTGAGCTCAATCCTTCCCAGTCTGAGCTTGATGTCATTATTGTCCTCCTGTCTCTGTGTCATTGCATAACAAACAACCAATGGCTCTGCAGCGGTGACATCATAGCTAATCATACCCAGTCGTGACGTTGTATCCAGGCGGGATAGCGATGCACTTCCTCCTGGCCCGATCCCAGCCGCAATACGGATCCCGGGAAAGAATGCACTCTCTGCAAGTGTCTCCATAGCGACTGCAGTCAGCCACGGGCAGCCGCTGGACCTCCATCGCCGTTCCAACATACAGATGTCCCTGTGGAGAGAGATTCAACACACAGTGTACCTCAGTATGACTGGATGAAACATCACACAGACGGCGCAGTGTCATTTTTCCCACTGAAGTGTTGCTAACAATCTCTCCGCTCCAGTTTCCAGACCCACATGGACCAATAAAAGCCACAACTCTAAACTTAAAGTGAGGGATTTCTCTAATATCACCCTACACACAAAACACATGGCTATTAAATATTTTAGCAAAGCTGCTGTCACAATCTCATATGAGGAATTAGTGGTCCTATTAGCCATGAAAAAAAATCCTTCATGACGCTTGAAATAACTTTGAGGATTATATTAAAGCAATGAATAAAAGCGATAAAAATGTTCGAATTTGAAAAAAGTAAGAATAATCAGTGAATATGATCCAATTTCTTTGGTTCCACTTCTCTCCTCTGAGACAGGAACAACATTTTACAAATAACTACAAGGCTTTTAATCCCCATTAAACCACGGCTCAGTTTGGAAATGACATATTTGGAACAATTCCCTTCATGTTGTGACAAATGACGAATTAATAAATAAAAGACAGGAAGCTAAGCTGCAGGAGGCATAATTCTAGTGTTGTTTTTGTCTGTTTCTTTGGGGGGGAGGGTGCGGGGGGGCTTCATAGTCAAGCTTGACTTCAGCTAACATTTGTTTTCTCCCCCTTGTTCTACCAACAATATTCTCTTTATCTACATGCATGCATTTTCTCAAGTGTCTTCCTTTTCTGTCTTCTGCCTGGAGGCTTTATCTTTGACATCTTAATACCTTCAATGTCATCTTCACTTTTTACCTCTAACTTTATCTATCTGCTGATACGGATTAATCCTTCTGAACATTACTTTACTGTCAACTCCAGAAGACTAAGGAATAAGCAGCAGAAAAACCATAACAACAACAACAACGCCACCTTGTGTTTTCATTTTATTCTAACCTAACTTTCAACTTTTGATGTCTGTTATATTTAACATTCATTTCCCAATGGTGGTAAACACTGACTCATTTCAATGCAATAAAAGTACAATAACAGTTCGTGGTCGGAACAACTAAACACCAGCCCCTGAAGTACTAATGAAAATGTCATATAACTCTTCACATATTGGAGAATTTGATCAACAGAATAGGAAATAAAACTTAAACTGCAGAAATGAGATTTACCTTCTGGGAGTCGATGGCCATGTTTAGAACTGGACCCTTGTTGTGAAACATGGAGTATTGAGATATGATGAAGACCTCCTCATTGGTGTGAAGGACTTTGAGAAGTTTGCCTTGTTCTGCAGGAATAAAGGTGGAGAAGACACGAGGTGAAAACATTGTAGCTGTGGATACATCATTTTAGCATAAGCTTCAACCGTCAAGACTTGATCAACAGGTTGTAAAAGGATGTGTGCAGGTCAAGGGGTGGCATTACTTTGGGGTTCGGTTCAGGGCAGTGATGAAACTCTGGTTTTTGCCATGCTGTAAGTCATAACTTACATTCAATTCCATATGACACATCACAAAAATATGTAAAACAAAAGAACCCGTTGGCTAAGAAACTATTGGTTTTATATGGAGTTAGTCAAAGCGAACATCAATGAAGAGTACACAGAAAGTGCAATTTATGCTTATGCCTGTGAGCCATAATGAAGGATTCTTCCTGAGTGAACCATACTACATGATGGGGTTTGAAGACATAACATCAAAGTGCTGTAGGTTGTGGATGTTGTGATGACAGTGATTTGATTATTCCTGAACACAATTTCATTTTTTTTAACCACATCTAAATAAAGATTACATCAAAGTCTTCATCTAGAAAATAGTAAACACTTGAATCTTAGTTCAAATGGTAAAGTGGACACTCCATCTATTTCTTACTTTGGCTCCTTGGACTGCAAACAGCTGAAAAAAGCACTTTTACTAATCTCAGTCACTTATTTCAATTAGGCCCAAGAGGAAAAAGAATCCCTCCATATTAAAGCAGTACTTTAATACGAACTCTGCTTTTTAAACTGTAGTTCATCTTGGATTCCTGCAGGGTTTATTATATGAGGTTCAATAAGGCTTCCTCTCTCTGTCGATATCGTGTTCAGAATTCTGCTGCTCACTTTTTACACAGTCTTCAGTACATTTTTTAAATTCTCTTCTCCCAGTCTCAGTGTGCAGCATAGAATTTATTCTAAAAGCCTGATGGTGGTTTAAGAGTCTCGTAAATGGTCTTGGTCTAGCTGGGCTCCCTGACCTGCTTCAGACTCAGTCTCTCTAAAGTCCTCTGATCAGCTGCTCACCACTGATCAGAGGGCATTTTCTTTCATTTCCCTTTGTTCCAAACATGATGTATTTCCTGTATACTTTGGATCAACCCCAGCTGTACTGGCGATCACACCTTACATAAAAATAGTAGTTTATAATGAATTTGTTTTTTTAACAGAACATGTGCTTAAACCAGTACAGATTTGACCTTTAGAGCTCATTTAACAAAATAGAAACGTAGCCTGTGCAGCCATGATGCATCAGTCTTCAGTCACTCCCACAGATTAAATCACTAATTTTCAGTGCCCTATATTTTTTATTACCAGCCTTTTGGAGCTGACATTCTTCTCTCCAGACTGACATTGAGTGACTTTTTGGATTACCTTCAGTGATTCTTTCGACAAACAATGTGAGGATTAATCATTGCCTGCTGATGTGTGATCACATCTATTTTGACTTTAGTCACATCCAGGAATATTTTACCTCCACCCTTACTCTGAAAATCCGATGACAGCGATATTGTCTTATCTTTCTGAATAATTAATCCCAGTGAAAAGCTTTCTCATCTGCTCTCAGACAAATACAGGCTTCGCCATCACAGAGGCTTCATCTGTCTCTAAACTGTCAGCTCCTGTATTTTTTTCAGAACTTTGATTCATTTTATCCCTGCAGTCGATGATAATGTTCCACATTTACCTCTGTTTATTCTCACATGGCTGTTCGGTTTTGTCTGCAGCTGTTTTCTGCTGTTTTATCGAAATATCGAGAACCTAACAGTGATGTCTGTAAATACATAGTTACACCTAGTGAATTCAAAACCTAGTGACCTTAGCAACTGTGCTAAGGATCCATTAGGAACCAAAACCTGTTTTCTATTCTCCTCAGACCATTAACGCTGCTGTTATTAACCTAATTCTGCCCAGTGCCTGGAGGCAGTGCTGTATTGTTTCCAAAACAACTGCACCAATTTCACAAATGGCTAATTCCAGCCAATCTATGTCTGCTCATTTCTGTCTATGTGCAGCAATTCTTTTCACGTTCCAAAGACTGATTAGGGAATTTGGTTAATTGGAGACTTTCACTTAAGCAGAAATGTACAATAGAAAGTATTATCATGCCTTAAATTATATTTGAATGTTTGTTTATCATGTGTAGTACTAATCAAAAATTTAATCCATCCAATCCGATAACTAAGCCCAAATGCTATTCCGGGATAAACAGGGATACCATCACCTCAGCATCGGCAGCCCGCAGCATGCTGGAGGAGAAAGGGCAGAATCTAATGGTAGTAGTTTTAATTAGATTTTTTTAAATTGTTTTTTCTATATTTTTCCCGCAGCTGACTTCTGGTTTGTAGTATATTGTGAATATTACCCATTATCTGCAGAATTTGGCCTTAACACCACCTCAGCAGATGGAAATATCTTCCCAAACAGAACCCAACTGCAGCACTAGAGAGATGTTGATCCTCTGCTGAGGATTATTCCAAACAGTTCAACCTAAACTCATCAGAGCACGTCCAGGCCGACAACAGCAGACTTGAATCAGAACTAGGAACAAAGACACGTCACAATGACCAAACACCCAATGAAGACTGACTGAGGGAGAGAGGTAGATATACCAGGTGACACCAGTGAGACTGATGAACATGTAATCACAGGACACAGGTGTGAGGCTGATGACACTGATTACACAGCAGACACAGGCAGGGAGACAGACAGACCTTACAAGATGGTGGTCTAAATCAGCGGCCTCCCAGAGATGTTTGTTTTCTGTTAATTTTGCTAGCTCGGGGGTTTCAATTTAGCTGTACTGAATTATGTGTTATCAGCTGAAGCAGACCCTTTAAAAAGGTAGCGTAGGTAAGACATGAGACTCAAGACTGAGTCAAGCATCTTGACATGTATCAAGTGTGAGTCATAGACAGATGCTACAGAGGGGATCCGCTAATTTTTCAAAATAATCGTTCGGAATCAGATCATAAATAAAACAGAAATAATGTAAGTTATGCATTCTTTCTGTGTGGCCCGGTAACAATTGACCCACGAACCGGGTGTTGGGTACCACTGGTCTAAATGTTTATGATGATGTTGGCCCACACACTAGTTGGGTCAATGACGAATGCTCACACCAAATGACAGGAGTCATGGTCTAAGATGCGTTGATAGTCTTCAGGTTAGCATCTTGATATACACTGGAACATTTTACAGTGTGATAATGTTGCAGTTTCTGTCAACATAACACCTCACTGATGTCAAAATTGATGCCAACACTGTAGCCGCAGCCATAGTTGCCACAGACTAACAGTGAGTTAGAACTTCTCTTTCCTGTCTCTGCCTCGCTAACCTTGAGCTTCCACCTCACATGTCACACCGGCTGAAAAGAGAAAAACTTTCTGATCTTAAATATAAAGTTAGCTTGAAAGGAGTGCTCTGACATTTCTTCCTTCCCTCTGGGAGTATATTCTGCTGCATTACTATTATGTCAGAAGTGATCCACACAGCTTTACTTGGTCTTCACAGTAGAGAAAGAGTGAATAGAGTAGAGAGGGAAAAAAACACACACACTTCACTGCTGCCTTAGAAATTAGCAGTTACAGCTCCGAGTCCTTTGTTTCTCCCTTTTCTATGTTGTTATCAGTGGCTCTGAAACAGCAGTATAGCTGTCAGATATGTGAACTGTTGGAAACCTCAGCTGTATGTTTTACTATTTACTCAGTGTTGGCTGCTCCAGCTGGTATTTTATAGCAGATATATGGACGACTCAGCAGACTGAAGAGACACTGGAGGGCTAAGAAATAGTTGGTTGCAGGATTTTACTCACTAAACCATTTTTTACACTCATATATTTATTTTGGATTGTTTTACCTCATGCCAACACACATCTTGTTTACTTTTTTTTAACAAGGTCATAAAAACTGATTGAATCTCAGATGCCTGATTGTCTCTGAGCCGTCATTTGCCAAGTAATAAAAGACAGCAAAAAAAAAAAAAAAAAACTCTATTCATGTTAATAAACCCATTACAACAACTGGTGCCTGGAACACACACTCAAACAAAAATTCTCAAAAATGTTTTGAGGTATTTATGAGTAATGTTATGGAAGAAGGTCCATTTATTTGATTGCTAAAATACAATACATACTAAATCCTTCATGTAAATACTTTTCTTATGTAGGATGCCACTCGTATGCTTTATGCCAAACGTTATAATCATAATGTTATGCCTCTTGTGAATGAGATCCTACATAAAAAATGTTAAACAGAGACTTTAAAGTTCAGACTTTAGTTAATTTTTTTTTTCTTAAGTGTATTAGTATAGAAATTTCCATGAAACCTCTGCAAAAACTAATTATATTTTATTTTAAGAAACATCAGGGGAACTATACTGTAATCTGTTTTGTTTTTTTTTTATATCATATTTTTCACCCCTGCTGACCTCCGTGTGGATTTTCAGTGTTCAGCTTGAGCAGAGATCCATTTGTACAACCTGCATATTCTATGGCCAAAACTTTCAAAATGATAAATTACTGTGTCAAAACTAGAACTTTCTGCATCATGGTGACAGAACAATTGCCCTCCATCGAGTGGGTTAACTTTTCTGTAATGGGCTTACAGTAAAAATCTGATTTGTTGTCATCCTTACAGATAGAGTGGTTGGTGATTATGTACACATATATTTTCTACCAAACTATGTGGTGACTGTGATGAAGAAGCAAGGGAAATTAACTTTGTCAAATCCTGTAATGAAGAAGCAGGGAAATTAACTTTGTCAAATCCTGTAGCACCCCAAAGCTTTGTGGACAGGTTTTAAACTGGTTCTGTAGCCTCACGTATACAATTTATATATGACATAACAGCCCATTATGCACTGCTACATTACCAGATAAAGTTTCCCTCCACGTGTTTAATCCTACTCTGTCCCTCTGGATGGTATATAGCGAGCTATTAAGCTAATTAGAACTGTGTCCCATCAGCCCGCTCCAGGTCAACACTGCGACTCTGTGAGCCCTTTCATCTCCCAGCACCGTACATCACTGTTTTGTCAGACTAATGTAACAGTAATAAACACAGTGAAGTCAGAGGAACCTATTTGAGTTATGATCTGGAACTTTCTAATGACCACCATAAAGGTGCCCTTGCAGTCAGACTCTACTGTTCAGACAGGCTTCTGCTAATGGTGTTAAACCTTTTTTTTTTCTTGTCTGGAGAGAAACTATAATTCAACTACTCAAAATTAAGACAGGTATAACCCTGGTTTTACATAACGCTGCATAATGAGAGCAGGTCGTTACATCAGCTAATCCCGTTACAAAGATCTTGGGATATAAAAAAAAAAACGGAAATAAGTTCTGTTTTTAGGCTGAGGTTTATTTCAAACGGCTTCATTAGCTCATCGGTTTTTTTATAGAATCAAACGCATGATTCCTGAAATATATTCTTAATGGCACCCTCGTTAATGTGCAGAACAGATTCTAGATACCAAATTAGCAACATAAGAAACCTTGTTGAATATGGTTCACCCCTCTTGATATTCTTAGACTACATGGGCCACACGGTGGGATAATTCATTAGTTCTCCTGCCCTATAGCACAGGGTCACTTCCCTGAACCCTGACAGGGACTTTACTGTATACAGTTTGCATGTCCTCCCTATTTGAGTGAGGGTTTTCTGCCGATTTCGCAGCAAAGTCTAAAGGCAATTGAAGCCCAGGTCTCTTGGACATACGATCACAGGTATGAATGTGAGTGTGAATGGTTGTTTGTTTCTACATTTAACTGTTGAGATTGGCCTCAGCTGTCCCCCGTGAGGAGAAGGATGACGTGCTAGAAGACGGTTAAAGATGATGGACAAGCTGTGTTTCCTAAATGTGTCTGAGTGAGTCTACCAATACAATAAAGGCTGTTAATTAAGAGGGAAAATATAAAATCTGCTAAATGACTTCCCTCTGGATACAGAGAAACAAGCTCCAACCTTCAATATGTTTTAGCTCTATCACTGTAAAACACTTAATACACTACACACTATTTTTTTTTATTTCTTTCAGGCTAACAGAGGGCATGATGCGTCATCATTCAAACCCCTAACAAATACAAAAATATGAGGACGCATCTTTGTGGGAGCTTTTGGACATTTTGTGTTCAGAATTCCAGACAATGTCTCAGAAAACAAACAAAAAAAAAGGAACACGGCGAGCCATCTTTTTCTAAATCCACCCAGAGCAGCTGGGAGAGTTTTCTGCCATCGGCATCATCCAATCATCAGGCACCACACCTCGTCCCAAATGTTCCAGACATCCCCCTGCTGCTGTGGATGTGTCTGACCTGAATAATCTACTGCTGCATCTGTCAGAGGTGAACGGCAAACTGATGTAACCCAATTTTCTGGTCACTTCACAGAGAGTCCGAGTCTAAAAACTCCAAGAGAAAACCTTTCTTTGCAGATGTTTACCTTGAATTCTTATCAGCGCTTATCTTCAACAAGTCAACTTCGACCAGTAGTTCACTGGAAACAACAACAACGTCTCCACCTTGACATGATTTGCAGGCGCAGAATGCTATTGGTTATTTTCTGATAAGCGATGAATCAGGAGTCACTTCTGGTGCATGCACTGAAGTTTTCCCGTCACCGTGTCTGTTTTTCAGTAATTAAAGCAACAATTAGCAGGAGGAGAGCTGAAATCCAATACACAAGGCAGAACCAGGACAAAACTGCTGGCAAACACAATCAGATAAAGCAGACACAATGTGGCGAGGAGCTGCTTCATCAGCAGATAAATCAATTCCACAGAAGTGCAGGATCATTTGCTTTTTCAAATTAAACCTCGAACATTTTCCTCAGACCAATGTCTGGACATAAACCCAGGACAAAAACACTGTACATCATTCACAGCGCATGTAATGGATGCGCAGGAAATGCAATCATGGAGCTGTCCTAATGTGAGGGAGCTCTTGTGAGGGTGATCTCACCTCCTTTATAGATGTTCAATATTGGAAAACTCTCTGAGTGATGTTGACTCTGCAGGGCAACTGTGGTAATATCAGCCTATTGCCTTTTGGTGAACAAAGATTAACTGTGTGGTTTGGGTCTCCCCCTCTGTCAGTCTGCTGTATAGGATATTAATGTCCCAGAGCTACCCAGAATCCATCAGCTTCCATTGGGCCATCTCAGGTCAGGATGCAGATCCTGCTGAGCTGCTTCTACTCCTTTGATTGGTGAAGATGGATCCCTGCATCAAGACGAGCTGTCTCGTCTATTTGTCAGCTGCACTCACTAAAGATGGGATTATTTCAACATGGCAGCTCCTCTTCATCATTTGTTCAGATGTGTGACTGTGTTTGCCATTAATTGTGCAGATTGATGAGCTTGAGCTCTTAAAAGCCTGTGAATATTTATAGCTGCTGCCCCGGAGTGAAGGTGACGCAGGAGTGAAGAGGACGAAAAAGACGATATGAAAGAAGCGGGATTCAAAGGCTTCCTTGTCTGGGACACTCTTTGTTTTTCTGTCAACGTCTGTGACAAACCACTGCAGAAATTACAAACTCAGACAAGTTCTATTTTCAGCCTGCTCTTCACAGAACAGGAAGTGGATTACAATGTAAAAATTAAGTAAAAGGAAAGGCCCAAAGACTGGATTTCATCTTTTTCTCATGCAAAAAAAAAAAAAAAAAAAATAGCATTTTTAATTTGATGCGCAATCTACCTTATATTACAGTCTTCATCCTAAGACAACAGACTAAAACAAATCCAAGGATAACAGAATCCATTAAAGCTATCATGTTGTTAATTTAGTTTATTTAGATGTGAAATAAATAAATGAATAAGCTATGAATAAAAACTCCAAAATATTTCAAGATATATTTAATATTCATAAGGTGAGTTCTGATATTTTCAGGCATTAACAACATGTAACTGTTACTCTTTGTTTCCTTTGAGGTGGATGGATGGATGGATGGATGGATGGATGGATGGATGGATGGATAGATGGATAGATGGATAGAACTTTATAAATTGTTTCAGAAAATAAAGGATTCAGTTGGTGTGAAGAGACAGATCTCCACTCCAACCTGGCTCGACAACTGGGACTCAAACTGCTCTAGTTTTCTTTTTTAGATCAACACACGGACCTCACTGCTGCTCACTGCTCTCCATGTTCTGAAAAAGGAGAAATAACCCAGAAAAACATGAACCATGACACTAACAAAAGTGTGTGAAGTGACACATGTTTATCTTTCAGTTTATTCCCCAAGGGTGAGACACTTGTACGTGCTTCTTGATTTCACTTGTGCCGGTTGCCATAGAAATCTGGCCGAGGCGAAGGAAGGTTTTTAAGAGCAGCAGCGCCTCAAGATTGAGACATTCAAATGTCACTCAAAAGGAGCTTGCCGTGTTTTTTCAACATTTTCTCCTGTTCAGTGTTTATTTTGTAGCTGATGTCGACTTGTCACAATAACAACCTGATTCTTTGACTCGGGAAACAATCCAGAATCAGTCAAGTGGATTTAATGGAAGCAAAACAACAGGGGGAGCCACTTCATATTTTGTCAACAAATGCTCCGATTGTTCTGTATTAACACTCACATAACGAGTAGATGACTGTGGCTCACATTGTGGAAGCAGTTGTTCAAGCCTGCTGGGAAAAATTGAATATTTTTTAACTTCTCTGGAGTGCGGTGTTTAAGGTTTATAAAGTTCTTATAGCCACTGATTTTCATCGACTATATTTTTTCAGCAGTGGCTGAATTTCTACATTCAGCAGAAAGGAGAAACCTAAAAACACAGAAGGATTATTATCTGCTTTGAAGAAATGGAAGAAAATTAAATATTCAACAGATTCAGTTAGAGCTAAACACATATTCTTTCTATTACAACAGTATGGAACCCTATAGAAATGAAGGGAATGGACAATATAATGTAAGCCACCAGACATGCATTTCTGTTTGTTGTTGTTGCCCTCAAATTTACATCAATTACAGTAGGATTTAAATGGCTACATAAGATTTATTGAACACATTTACACATCCTCAGTCCTGCTAAGGCCATGCTAGTCCAACTTAGTCTGCAGGATTATTACTGTATGTCTTTTTCCATACCTTGTTTGAGTTTACATGTCATATAATAAAATCATAAATTGATTTTTGATAGCTTAAAAATAGTCAAAGGAACATTGCAATGGCTAATTAGGTCATACATAAAAAGTTGCTACAAAATACTAAATGTTAGCACTGAAAAAATAAAATGTTGTCTTATCCAAAATACTAATACAACAAAATTAATGTGAAAACCAATTGAAAAAATAAAATGTCTTATCCAAAATACCAATACAACAAAATTAATGTGAAAACCAAATTATTCTTTTATTATTCCCTTGGCAGTTCTTCCTTGTTATATGGATGTATATGTACCGTATATGTATGTGTACATGTATATGTATATGTATATGTATATGTATATGTATATGAATATGTATACGTATATGTATATGTATATGTATGTGTATATGTATATGTATACGTATATGTATATGTATGTATTGCATTGAATACTGTTGGGTTTTTTAACTGGTAATTCCTTAAGTCTAATAATGACTTGATCACCTACCTGTTCCGAGGTAAATGACGCTGTAGTGCTCGTCGTTAACTGCCAGCACGATGTCCGCCACGGTGTGTGTAATCTGGTCATCTGTGGGCAGGTCAAGTGGAGCCACGCCGACGGGCAGGATCACGTTCTCAATTTCTGGATGGTACCTGATCACCCCGAGGGTCCTCATGTCGTTGTGACCTCCTGCTGTTGAGTTCTTGCGAACGCACTGAGCAAAGAGAGGAGATTGGATTGTTTCAGAAATAAACAAAAAAGCCTTGGACAAAAGGTTAAAAAATAGCACTTTTATTACCTCTCAAAAATATCACTTCAATATGTTTTATATGAGTGTGAGGCAGGCAGATCCCACTCTGTGTTTTCTTTGTTTTTACAATGCTGTGATAGAACAACACTACAGGTCAGATTTTATTTACCATTCCAGGGCGATTGCCCATGAATGAGCTGCTGTAACCCTTCAGTTTGCTGGTGGAAAAGGCCTGGTCAATCTCTTTAATGGAGTAGGCACAGATCACTGTTCTGCCCCTGAACAAAGACAGAGAGAGCAGTAATTACAGCGGCCATGAAAGCAGTGAGAGTGGTTAAGAGCGATGTTCGGAGGAAACTACTAGAAATTACTCTCCAACTCTGGGCCCTGACAACAGAGACGTATATAGTGAATAAATTGGAGCTGTTTGCTTTGACTTTCTCTGGTTGTATTCAGGATTAGACTGAGACATTATATTCACTGTTAACAGCTGCAGAGGTTGTGATGGCTGCTTTTTACTTCAGCCTCCAAGGAAATAATAACATGAAATTACAGCAGAGACGTGGAAGAAATTGGTAAGGAGACATTCATTACATATTAACCTGAGGCATTTGGTTATTTCAAAGGTCACCGCAGTGATTGGCTGGCTTCATTTTTGTGCTGATAACTTTTTGAGCTTTAATGCTGCTGCTAAAGTACTTCATCAAGAATGCACGTCAGTGTTTTCAAGGCAAAGATTTTTTCTAAATCTTTTGAAATAATAAAAACTAAACCCTATAAATAAAGCTTAAAAAACATTGTAGAAAAAAAAATCATCAAACTTAGCTCAATGTAATGTGAAACAGTAAAACGAATTAGCTGAGAAATATCAAAAAAGAACTTAACATATAGAAAAAGAAGACGAGACTAGCTGGTAGCTTTAGGCTTTAGGATTTTTGTGTTGGCCAATATGGAGCACTGAGGTTAGCCCAGAAAAACACTGTCTAAAAACAACTAACAATTGACATTAACAAGATATTTTTTCAAGTTTAAATCTCAAATATGTTGCCAAGTTATAAAACTAACCTTAAAAATGTTATCAAAGGAAGAAGCGGAATCATGAAACCTCAACTAACCCTGTCGTGACTGATATGAGGAGAACGCTGAAGTTTGTGGGTGGATAAATAACTGATTATTGTACAGTTGTTTTTTTGGCACAGCACAGTGTTCACTTCCAGCTCACCATGCGTTGGAGAAGAGTCCGTACAAGACCCCCGCCCTATTGTCCTGGGCCGTCAGCACCACCGCCTGTTTCAGGTTGTTGTACTGCTGCTGAGTGTTTCCTGCCCCACACATCATCCTGGCCTTCATGAAGGTGGTCCAGGACTCGGCCAGCAGGGCTTTGACGCCACCTTCATCCACCTGCACACACCGTACAAACAACATCCAAATCAGGCTTCAATGCACAGCCAAAATATAGTTCTGTAAACGGACGAAGGTGATTGGTGGAAACTAAATATTTTTTTATTAATAATTTATTTTCTTATCGAATATCTGGTTTATGTTTTGCATATTAACAACAAATATCTAATCTTTTTTACATTGTATGAAACCAAAAGCATACAAATTACAAAACCAACTTTCTGCACAAATGTGATGTTTCTATTGGGATTTGTCCTCTCTGATCATGTGAGTTCAGCACATTAACTATTTACTTCAAATTGCTGCTTTTACACAAAACCGCGCTGTTGTGAAACGTCCGCAGCTCTGAAATCTCAGAGAGCTGCTCTTTGATCACGCTCTTCATGATTCATATGTGTTCAGTAGGAGGGAGAGCAAAAGTACACCATGAAAAAAAAGACTTTGGATCAATTATATTGGGCTCCTGGGGAAACTTGGATTCAGAAATATATGTTTTTGTAGCTGTTCGTTATTTTTATTTTTTTACCGTGCAGACACGACCGATCCGAGCTCTGTACGGCTCCTCGTCCACTCTGGCCGTCTTGTTGAACTCGCTGAAGAAGAAATAAATCTCTTCCTTGTCCTTTAGTGGAGATGGGATTATGGCTGCACCGGCAAACTGTGGATCTGTGGAAGGAGATTAACCTTCAGTTACAGAAATTCACTTTGACCTGTGTAAAGTCAATTCCATGCTTTTTTAATTTCAATCGAAAATTGTACTTTTTAAGCCAACCTTTTTTGTTGTTATGCCTAAATACACAGCAAATCCAGTTTTTTTCAGACCATAAATTAGTATTAGTGATTAGTGATTAGTAATTGGTATTAGCTTTGTGACTACTATTAGCTACTTGTTGGCTAATTGTCTAGTTTTTCCTGGGCGTTAGGGCTAACGTTATTTCATCTTACACTTTTGCTAACCATTAGCCATGGTTATATGTAAAATATCAAGACTTATTGCTTTTTGCCTACATATGTTTGGGCTGAATGCTTAATAATTTTCCTTTATTATCTTATATCTTGCAAATTATTAAAATATTTATAAATCAATCAAATCAGTCATTTTTTTAAAAGCATGGTTTCCCCTGTGTTTCTGATAACTTTTGACCCAGAGATAAGAGCATCCTGCATAGATGCTTATATATTTTCCCCTTACACTCCTGCGGCAGCTATTTTTACTGTGTGTTTCAGCCTGTTTTTTTTTTTTTTTAAAGGACAGCTTGTGTTGTTGCTGCTGTCAGCACCATCCTACCTCAAGAGCCGCACAACCATCTCAAAAACCTTAAAAAATTACAACAGTTCATTTCAATTTCAACCAAATAATGTTGACATGGTGAAGTAATCTAATTCTACACTCATTTCTATGTCATTATATAACCAAGTATGACTCACACCATTAAACACTGCAGGGGCAGAAGAAGACACATAAATGCCATTTTATCACCGCGTTCAAGTGTTTCACTGCACGGCTGGTGATTTACACGCACAATTTCCCACCATCCTTATGTCCTTGTGTCTAAACCTGTTAAGTTGGTGCCTGACTCCAATCCTCCTACTCACTCAGCAGCCAAACGTTCTCCGTCTTCAGGAGCTTCTGGGAGCCAAACGTACGACGGATGGAGCCGGCGTGACCTCCAACTGATGACATGGCAGAGTACAGACTCCCATCTGAGACAGAGTGGAGAGAAAGCAGAGGAGCAGGTCAAAGGTGTGCATAGAAAAGGAGAGAGGAAGGTGGAGAGAGAGAGTGTGACGGATGGGTACAGGGTTCAGAGACTGCGGTGACACAGAGTACGCAGCCGACTGTAGGCACGGAGGGAACATAAGAGGCAAAGAGTGGACGAGGGGGGAGGACAAGGAGGGTGGTGGAGGTGGCAGAGTGGATATGCTTTTACTGTCTGCTGGCAGAGAATAAAAAAAACAGAATTTAACAGCAGGATAGGAACAAAGAAGACATCAAGGCAGAATAACTCACCGCTTCGATTGGCAGCCACCAATCACTGCGCTGCTACAGCCTTATTAGAGCCGTGGACGCGCAGCACTGAGATGTGGTTGTGTTGGAGCACTGTCTAATTAGGACTGATTGTTGTTAGACTGCTGTTCAGTTTAACCGTAGGGCCGGCCTTCTTGTCTCAACAATCAATCCCCATGCAAAGCATCCTGCAGCACAGGCTAACCTCTCACTAATTTCCAAGTGGCTCCTCCAGTAATTCATCTGCATTAGTTTAACAAACGCTCTCTCCACCCACATCCTGCACCACGACTACAAAGAGCTGGCTTTGGGTATGGAGTCATGGCTTCACGTTCGCCTACAGTGATACAGTCTGTGCTTCTGGATAGTAATGTGGTACGGATTCACATTTAACAGGGAGGAGTGAGATGCTAGGTCACCTGATCATTTTAATGTTGAGCTTTTAACTATTTAAATCATTTTTCTAACCTGATCTACACAACAGTTTAGTGTGTTGTTCACAAGATAATTTCTATTTAGCAGAGCTTGTTAAAAAGTGTTTTTTTTTTTATGATAATGAAAAGGGAGCCAGCTGATTTTTTGATAGAATGTGTGGTAGAAAATAATTTTCTATTCACATTTAACAAAATTAAATATATACGATATAAATATATGTACATATAAACATATATTTTGTTTTGTAACATGTGTTTAATGTGTAATATATATAGATATGTGTGTGTGATATATGTACATGTATATATAATATATAAGTACATATTACAGTTACATTTAGAATGTGACTTCTCTTTCTTTGCTTATGAATATTTGTTTTTGTTTAGTGTATCTATACCACATGCTGGACATGTGACATTGAAGTACTACGTAGTAGTACAGCACACAGGCTTCTATACTGTTTATAGCACCTCAAATACAACTGACCTACTGTTACACACTTCATTTCAGATGTGTAAGTGCTGTGGAATTACTAAACCTAATTTAGCACTACTACTGTCCAGGGGGTCATTATGTCTTCATTCTAATTCTGCTGTGTAATAACAACATTAAAATAAATCCCTTCTTACTGCTGGGATTTAACAGTGCTGGGCATTTGTCTTGAGCCATCTTTGCCACCCGCGACCTTCTTTTAAGTAATCTCGTTTTAAGGGTTTTTTTTGTTTGTTTGTTTGTTTTTTTTCTGGATACTTGTTCACCATACCAACAAGTTTAATCTCTGTGACTAAAAGCCCTTTGCGAAGCCTGTGCCAAAGTGAATGAATCAGCAATTCTTCTTGCATCGTGATATGGCGAGCATTTGGTGTGAAAAAAAAATCAATGTTTTGGGTTTTGTTGAACTGTTGAACCCAGTATATGGTGCTGCTATAAAGGCTGAAAAAAGTGTTTGATTTGTGCCCAGAAATACTGTCAATCATGCCTTCAAGATTAAAATTAGCATACAAGCTTCTGGGGGATGCTAACAGGCAGCGAGGCATTAATAGTTCATGAGAAACCCTACAGAGAAAAGGCGGCGTATTTCAGTTTCTGTAGGACTGAGCAGCTCTCCCTTTCTCTCCCTTAATGTCGTACACTTGTTCCCGAGAGAAATGTAAAGTTGGCCTGCTGACAGTGAAACAACATAACAACGGCATCACTAACAGATTACGCAGCTACGCTTTTAGAAAATCTGAATATAAAGTACAGTTACACTGTAATAACATCACTATTTTTCTCATTGTATTTGTTGAGTAAAAACTCTTAAACATTAGTCCTTTTACTACTGTCACACGTCACCAACCTACAGTACAGCCCACTTGGCTTAGTTTCTAATCTGGCCCGCCAAACACTGGTACAAGGTATGAGAAAGACTCATGTCGATCCTTCTGTTTTATTACAACAAATCAACTGACAGTTCTGTTGATGTCACTAAATGCAGCAGAAATCAAATGTGCCAAATCATCTTTGAAAGTTTAGGTAAATTCTTGTGAGCCGAAACGTTTGCCCGCCCCGATCCAGCTCCACTTTAGGTCAAAGTAAGTGCTAGAAAAGATTATATGCTATATATTATATGTACAGCGTAATGTACAGTAACCTTTGCTGTTTAGGCAGTTTGCCAATAGAAAATGTTGCTTCTTCCCAATGACTCAAAATGAATCCTTAAGTTTAACTAACTAATTTAGTGAAAAATGTATTGGTCGATTTGAAAAAAAAAAAACAACAATTCTACAGCTGAGAACACAATGAACAACAGCTGTCATCATCACTGCACCTTCCATCTGTGAGTGACTCAGACCAACAGACAGTGAGGGGCTGCGCCTGCGTCTGAATATATCCAGAAATCGATTTGTCTGAAGTAAAGTCCACATGAACCGTAAACGTAGGGAAGTCAATATATACTGCAGTAAGAGTACTCTCCTGTGAGTACTCTCACATTTAAGCCGCAGTGTTCGGACCCTCTTTCAGTCCATGTTCTCTACGAAACAGTTTGTGTGGTGGGTTGCATAACACCATTCCTCCCATGTGAAGGGCAGATGGAAGGCTGTTGCGTGTTTGGCACCCAGGGTGGTGCCGTCCCCTGGAGATTGTATGTGTGATAAATGATATGTATCATCTTCTGTAGCACAGCAATGAGATCATCACTACTGCGGTGGACTGATACACACTGCATCACATTTTTGTACTTTTTTTTTTAAGTAAATGAACAAAGTGTTTTTAAATTCCTGTGCTATTTGTTCCCTTCACGAGTACATACTTTATATACACGCAAATCCCTTGGTGGTTTTAACAAAAACTACTAATACATTTAGCTCGCTGAAGAACAGACTCTCTGAAGTACTTCAGATTAAAGCATTTACTCATCTGCAGGTTATGAATAGGGAATAATAGGAGACACTTTTCTCCCACGGGCCTGGAGTCGCGAGTGTTGCTCAGCTGCTGAGAAAATGAGCTGCAATCA